CACGTCGCGCCTCTGAGAAAAAAATGATCGGGAAACGCACCGCTTGCTTGTTGAAGCTTTTCGAGACGTGGGGTAGAAAACCAAAAACATTGGGGTAGAAAACCAAAGCATGGATGCCTGTTGTTGAAGCATTTCGAGACAAAACAGATGATAAACCCTAACCCAGGGAGACTATTGAGGAGGAAAGGGAAGAAATCAGACAGTGGAGGGTGTGGACAGCTGAGGTCCAAAAGGCATCCCATACCCTCCTCCTTTGCCCCATACTCTCCCCTTCTTCCTCACTCTGCCCTCCTAGCACTCGTACCCTATCCCATCCCTTTTATCCGCCTGCCCCAACGGAGGTCTGTGAGGAATTCCATCCTCCTCCCCCCACCCCCCGAGCACACACAAACCTCATACCCCATCCCATCCCTTTTATCTGCCTTCCCCAACCGAGTTTTGTGAGGAATTTCATCCTCCTCCCCCCCCCCCAAACACACCCAAACCCCCCCCGCCGCCGTTGTCGTCTCACCTCCACCCATCCATATGTTGTGCTCCTCACTTCGTTGTTGTGGGGGGATTCACCAATCTTTCCCCTTGGATTCATATGATAGGCAGGAACGCTCTCTTCGTTGTTCCACCCTCCTTAAACACCGATGACATCTGAGACCGTCTCTGCGCGCAGAACCCATGCGCCTACCCTTTGGTTGAAGCATCAAGCATCATTCCTCTTCACAGCAGCCCTCACACTTACCGTGCTGACAGAGGCCTCCGCGCTCTTGGGAAAATTCGGAAAAACTTTTATCAGCTCATGTTCCTGAACAGGCTCCCTTTTCTCACTGAGGATTTCCATAGCCACAATCAGAGGAGCTGTAGCTTATGCCCCGTGTCAAGCTCTGCTGGTTCGGATTCTTTCTTTCTTTCTTTCTTTCTTTCTTTCTTTCTTTCTTTCTTTTTTCTTTTTTTTTTTTCTTTTTTTTTTTAATTTGGACCATTTCTCGATTTATAAGTGTCATCCTTGAAAGCGCAGGGGCCATGCTAATCTTCTCTGTATCGTTCCAATTTAAACGGATGTCCCGAAGGACATCCGTTCTCGCCTGGTTCGGATTCTAGTCGTGTGCTGTGGCTGACAATCCTAACCCCTACAGCTCTCGTTCTCGCCCCTACTGCTTGTCCCAAGATCTCTGGTGTAGCCGCTTGTTGATAAGGGTATAGACGCATTGGAGCCGATTAGCTCCATAGGTGAAGTGGAGCTGATGAGCTCCGTTCGCACCTTATCTTCTCCTCCCTG